CACCGAAAGTAAGTTTGTACTATATGGCTTAAATCCCAGTAAGTAACGATTGGAAATAACAACTACTGTAGATAGAACTATTTTAAAGTTGCATAGTGTGTATGTCCATCATCAACATGATTTGGTGCCATTTGGAAATGTTGTAATTTTGAGTTGATTTAAAATTGTATGTTGGTGACATTGCAGATGGAGCAACCAGAATAGGCATACCACAAGTTTAAGGGATTAGTTATAAGTGAAGATTTGTAAAGGTTTATAGTACCTAAAAGAAAATATGTCACCAGAAGGTGCACCACAACAGAACCAACCTCAAATAAATGTTTTGGTTCAAAGAATGCATAAACAAGCATTAACTTTGCTACTTGTCAAGACACTGCCAAACTGCTGGCACAATCAGTCTTCAGTGCATTGTTTTGCAATCTTGAGTCAGATTCCCATTGCGGTCCATGAATATAAAAGGTGTTCCCTGGGAAGCAGGTGGAGGAATGGGAAAGGAACATAGCATGAGGCAGTGATGGAGGGAAGGTGTTTTTGTTCTACCGAGATGAGGAGATTAGGTGAAAGAGGACAGGGGAGGAGGATAGGGAGGTGCTACTACTCCTGCTGTTTTGGCCTCCGTCAACTTCCATTATTGGCGAACTCTACCATCCTACCCTCTCCATCCCACTGTCTCCAGTGCTAACGCCTTCCCATGCTTCTCTGAGAATGTCAGCTGTCATGGCTGTCCATGAAAGACGCTCCCCCACCCTCACATCCACCCACAAACACACACACACCTCAAACGCTGGCTGTGAGGTGCTGATAAAAGGCGGGTGACAATGGGAAGGGAACCGGTGGGCCATTTACACAGAGCGTCAGGCAGCGGAAGAAAAGGCGGTTTGCCATTGAGCGGAAAGGCGGGGTGAGCACGGCCACCTGCAGACCCCCTTATGGTTATCTGTCCCCCATTGATAATGCACAGGTCTCCAGAGATGTGGCACATGTATGGCATAGGGCTGAGTCAAAGCACATAAAGGCCGCCACTCAGCGTGGAGAGCCGATGAGGAAGAAGGAATACTAATTGTGGTGGCGTTTTAATCCTTGTCTACCATTTAATAGCCACCTCTATCGGGGTTGTGGGTTTTGACGCGCCTCTCTTTGTTTCCAAACAATTCAGCGGAGATCGTAGTTGAATCAGATGAGATTTATTCACTGATCCACACGGTGCATACAGGAGGACACATTTCTTCGCTTCATAGTAACTCAAACAGTGTATCATTTTCCAAAGTAACAAAAGAACACGGTCAAAGACTTTTCCATTTCCCCGTCTCTATCACCCCCAGCTGTGTCCCATCAACCTACCCATATATAGGCATAGCCATGCACGTGATACTGACGCACATATAACAATAATAAGTGAGCCTTAAATTAATGCATTTTAAACCCTAATGTGGACTCACAAAAATAGCCGATAATTTACAGTATAATCTAATTTATATTATTATTAAGCCCAACATTCAGACAATAATAACAAAGGTAAAATGGCTCTAACACTAATGAATGAAGAGAATACAACCACAGGGGATGAAATGTTAACTGACATTTCCATTAACACAAGCAGGGAAGGTCTCTAGAGAGAAAAGGTTTGATTTTTTTTCTATTTCTCACAGGCGGCATTGAAGCGTCTTCTGGACTACTTTTTGGGATTCACCCAGGAGACGCTTTGATTGTTTTTTGTTTGCAGATCATTGTTTATCTGCAAGATGCTGTACGTAAGACACCGGAAAATTAAGCATCATGAAGTTATCTTACGGGTTACGATGTGGAATATGAATCAGAATCAGAAACAGGTTTATTGCCAAGCTGGTTTACACGTATGAGGAATTCTGACAGACCCAAAATCAAAGGCATAGGTTGGCTGAAATAATGACTTATCAGAACATGATTACAGCTCCAATAGTGTGAAATATAGGGAAATAAAGACCAGTGGAAACAGTGTTGGAGGCAGGTCCCTGTTCATGCATAGATTACCTAGAGAGCGGGGCAGGAAGCCAAAAGGTTTGACGGCAGGGTGTAAAATTACCTGGATCTTTCGTCTGAAATGCACAGATCAGGATGACGTGGTTTAGAAGGTAAATGAAAGTCTGCCAATCAGAGGCTCAGTGCTTCAATGCACTTCTCCTGCAGTCAACATGTCAACGTGTCTTTGACACAAATTGTTCCCGTAGGCATGTCTATGGTATTAAAGTGTATGTAAGTCGCTTTGGATACATGTAGCAGCTAAAATGACACGTTATGTGAAGTAAATGTAATGGTAAAGAAAGGAAAGGAGTTACATGGAATAATCTTGTCCTTCATCTTCCTTTATACCATGAAACCAGGCTATCCACTACCAGCCAAAGTTTCACGGTAGTTCAAGCACATTTTTGTAGTGGCCAAGAGGTGGTAACATAACTTCTGTGTCATTTACGTGAATTCATTGGGCCCATGCGCATGGTCAATGGGCCCAGAACCTCTGATGATCCTGTTTTTTTTGTTTCAAGTCAGGCCATAGGTCTTTCATTAGTCTCTGCAAACTGCAAGCATTTGATTAGTATGAACTCAGAGAAACCATGCTTCTCATAATCATTTGGAGGAAACAGATATGTCGTGGCTACTCATATTTTTGGTCTTACCAAACATAAAGTTCTAAGATATGTCCCCTTTGGTCCATGTCTCCAAGACATTGAGAGATTATGTCCACAGATTAACTCTGTAGCATCAAGAAACATAACATCCAACTGGGCTTTGTGCTGACTGAAGGTAAATGAGATACATTTGGAAAATCAAGCCAGCATAAAACTAGCTAACCCAACAAAATGAAGGCTACAAACAACCCAAAAGACAGCAGACCATTTAACACAGAAGCCCATACTCTCTCCGTTTTAAGGAAACATACACGGTATCTTTTTCTTAGAAGAGTTATGTCCAGCTGACGGAGACAGGAGGTGTGACTGGGCCGAGCAGCAGCCTGGGGAGGGACAGGGTTTGTAATAAGCAAAAGGATTGGAAACTCTTTTTCACATCCTTCTTGATGCAGGCAGTGTGGGAGATCTAATTAAGATTGTTCATTAGATGAGTCTCCCCATTACAAGGTTGCTTATCAATTTGTGCTTCATCCAGCAGCAAAACAAGCTAAACTCTCCCAGAGGGCAG